AGCGTGAGCTGAGGCGGCGGGCAAGCGTGAGCTGAGGCGGCGGGCTAGCGTGAGCTGAGGCGGCGGGCAAGCGTGAGCTGAGGCGGCGGGCTAGCGTGAGCTGAGGCGGCGGGCAAGCGTGAGCTGAGGCGGCGGGCTAGCGTGAGCTGAGGTGGCGGGAGCACTAAGTTGATGTATTTCCTCAGCGACCAGCACAGATCAGCTCTAGGTATGACGAAGCAGATATCATCCTCTTTTGGAAGACCAAACAAAGTAGTTTCGCTTTCACAATGAAGCACACAGCGTCTTCACGACATGGCGGCAGCAACAATACTACAGCGAGAATAAAAGTTACGCCTTCTTTCTTTGCGTGAACATTTGGGCGGCGTTATGCAAATCTTCCCACATAGTGACGTAGACATGTGGGGGCGTGTTAGAACGAGCCGTTTTAGGTAGGTGTGGTTGACTCTTAACTTTTATAAAGAATATCTCTTTGGATTTGAGACTTTAGTCTTTGCAACTTTACAGATCTTCTTTATGCACCAAGAGCTTGTAACACTCCAAAGAGAAAGAAAAAATTGAAATGGCATCATATGACCCCTTTAAAGTGGCTACAGTGCAAACAGTACTCTGTAAAATCATTTAGATATTACATATTACAAAATCTCAGTTGCGATTTGGTTGACCTAAAATATTGTAAATATTATATAGAACATTTTACATCAATGTTTTATAATATAGGCTAATATTATATAGTATATAATAATAAAATGCTTAAATGTATATTCATAATAACATAAGTTCGTTATAAAATTATTTAAATGATTTTAAATGATTTTAATCATTTTTATCATCTAAACATCAGGTAGCCTACTTTATAAAAGGCCTACAATAGCTTTTTTTTGTCTGCGTTTAGTTTGTTTTATCGTTTTAGACATTTTTCCGAATATCTGCACGATTGCAAATGTGATATTGACTTTATACAAACAGTTTAATAAACAGGAAGTTAATATTGTGTTTGATACAATATTGCCAGCATCGTCTGGTTTTGCTCAAAATAAGACAATTGTCCCCATTTTGAATGAATCGAGTGAACCAATAAATCAGTGACTCTTTCATAAAGACTCTTCTGAATGAATCAGCAGTTTGAACGAATGACTCACTTATTAATTGACCTATTAATAACTTTTAATGATCTTTTATGGGACAATGTATACATGGCATTTACGCAGTTCCTGTAATCAAATTTGAACTCTACATTGGAAAATAAACATTATAATTTACCGTCACGATGATGTCTTTAAGACTAACGATTAACGTAACTAAGGCTCATAAACAGAAGGAGGATGTTCATCATCCCTCATAAGGTCTGTCTTATAATAAAACTTATGAACATCTGACTTGTACATCAGACTTGTAAATCTAACATTTAACTGTTTAAAGTAAGCTGACATTAGGCTCTAATATTTTACACCAATAGGCCTGTTTTATAACACCATGAAAAAATGTTTTTTTTGCTTTTTTTGATAGGCCTAATGTTTCTTTATAAAGTTTGACATGCTGAATACGAAAATCACATTACTTTTTGTGTGTTTACCTTATACAAGCTAATGTTATTACTCAGAAAAGTTAGGCTACATGGAACATGCATAACCCAGAGCTAACAAAAGTTTAACATTACAGTTACCAAAAGAGATAAACATAGAAGATTTTTGTTTCATGACAATGTTTCATAATTAATGATAGAAGTTCTAAAATGTACCTGACCTAAATATTTTCCAAAATATTGATGTGAAATAGTAGTAGCAACACAGAATTACAGAAGAACCATACAAAATTCAGTGAAATAAATTTTTGTTATATTGTGTAATAAATGTTGTGTATGTATGTATATATATATATATGCGTATATATATAACAGGAAGTGTTATATATATATGTATGTGTGTGTGTGTGTGTGTATGTGTGTGTGTAGCCTACTTGGTGATGTTTATCGGAACGTGTAATAGTGCAAACAGGTTTTCTGTAAGGGGTAGGTTTAGGGTTAGGGGATAGAAAATATTGTTTGATCAGTATAAATGTAACAGAAGTCTATAGAAAATGCCCACAATTCACAGAAACAAACATGCGTGTGTGTGTGTGTGTGTGTGTGTGTGTGTGTGTGTTTATGTGTGTGTGTGTGTGTGTGTGTGTGTGTGTGTGTTTGTGTGTGTGTGTGTGTGTGTGTGCGTGTGTGTTTGTGTGTGTGTGTGTGTGTGTGTGCGTGTGTGTTTGTGTGTGTGTGTGTGTTTGTGTGGTTTATGGACACAGATTTGTATAATGACATTGGTATGACATAGGTATTACAACGTAAAGGTGATTTGAGGCTTATAAAAGGCTTATAAACCATACAGAATGAGTTTTTTGAAAATCTAAAAATGCGCACAGTTTTCTGTGGGGGGTAGGTTTAGGTGTAGGGTTGATGTAGCTATTGTAGGGCGATAGAAAATACCGTTTGTACAGTAG